CACAACCCTCTCAGAAGTGAATTAAAAAACAGGAAATTAGCTCTTCAACAGAAACAAAAGACGAATCAACGAATCTTGCCTTTTGTCACACAATACCAACCATCAATGCCAAACCTAAAGCAAATTCTCATGAGACACTGACATTTAATAGAAACACAACCACTACTGAACGAAACATACAAAAATCCGCTTCTCGTATTTTACAAAAGAGGACGGTCGCCCAAAGACATATTCGTTAGGGCCAAACTTTGAATAGGCTACTCTAAACACGCGCTGGGGAGTCGTGTAGGCCTGTCAACCCCATTTTAAATCTTGAAAGAAACCATGTGAGTGGTACCCAGGCCCTAAGCTCGGCCCAATGTGATATTTTCCCCCTCCCCTCTGAACAAATTTTAACGACAGCGAGTAATGTTTAGCAACAGCGATTCAACCTATCGAGAGCGAATATTTTTAGCGACTTTAATTTGAACTTTGCGAAAGCGATTTCAATTTAGCGAGAGCGATTTCAAATTAGCGAGAGCGATTTCAACTTTGCGAGAACGATTTCAATTTAGCGAGAGCGATTTCAACTTTGCGAGAGCGATTTCAATTTAGCGACAGCGCTTTCAACTTTGCGAGGGCGATTTCAATTTAGCGAGTACGACTAGATTTTAGCGAGTTTTGAAACATTCGGAAGACCATGCCAAGTCCTCCACCCTCCCCCCTCCCGCTTAATGGATTTGTTCTCGGTTGCCCCTGGTTCAACTCCTCGGCTGCGCTCTGTAAATAGCCCACTGCTCTGCCTCCTGCCAGTGGGGAATTTTAAACTCTTAGTTAGTTAGCCTACATTGTGGCTGAAAAGCCCCTAAGGGGGAGCTTCAATTAACGTATATTATTATTATTATTATTATTGCTATTATTGTTATTATTAAAGATAGTCTTTATTTAGCAATGATTTCCATAAAATTCTCTACCATACAAAATATTAACAGCGTAAAAAACGATCCAAAATAACTCACTTTCGGCTCGCATCTATTCCTTTTTTTTAATGTCAAAGTGTCTGGAAAACTATAAATAACGGAGTCAAATCTGAACAGATATTAAAGTCTGATAATCTGATAAGTAAAAGCATATCTAAAACTATACAGAAAAGAGAAAGGTGAATGGCAAATCAAGAACCCCATATACAAGGCTGCTAAAAAGCATTAAACAATGTCAATGGGTCCCTCGACAGCTGCGATTTCAACGTCACAATTATTATAATCATACGAAGCGCGGCGCTTCACCCGCGATCCTCGAACGCAAACTAATTATTATTACAGATTAAGAATGTCTAGCTTGAAAAAAAATCTAGCTTTGTTCTTAACGACTACAGACGTTGCGTTAATTGTTGCCTTATCCCAAGTCAGGCCAAAAATTACAGCCTGGCAGCAATGTATGTTTCGTTATTTTCGACAGTTCGCACGCACCGTACCTAATAAATCAAAAATTTTCTTAGTTAAATGGGAGGATAAAAATTTCGTAGCAGTTACTTTACATTAACAGGTGTAGTCGAATTTCTCATCTAGCAGTGAGCCTTATCGATTTATTTGAAATTGGATGCACACTGCAATTGAGAACTTTTCAAACAGGGTTTGGTCTCTCTGTTACGATTTTTTTCCCCATTAGATCTTTTTTTGCTGCGTTCTCGTTGCCATCGCCGTCGTGGTTATCACCGTTAGTGTCTGTTCATATTTGGATGAATACCTTAGCTTTTAGATAATCTGTATTTTATTGGTTAGCATACCCTTGACAGCAGTCACATGTTTACTCTGATATATCATTGTATATAATTAAGTTCATCGTATTCCAATAAAGCAGTTATGTAGAGCATTTGGTCCGATTCATAAATTACTCTTTAGTAGAGCTTTAGCAGTATCCTGGATTAGTATATACTAAAACAGTGGATAGCGTTGAAGGCGTGCTCTGATTGGTTAGTCAAACTCCGAATATCCTTTGTTATTTACCTCCGAGCAACTCGGGAAAAAAATGGCGTCCC